CCCCCCCCGTGAGAGCAGGTGCTCTGCCTGGTGGGTGGCAGTGACGCAGGCACCTGGACCTGGGCTACTGCTGGGCCAGAAGACTCACTTCTTGCTTTTGAAGGTGCCCAGGATCTTGGGCATGAACTTGCCCACCTTGCTGTCCCTGGTGTCCTCCTCTGCAGGGGCCTCCCCTGCCCCCGTGCCCCCGGCCTCTTCCTTCTTGCAGAAGACCTCGAATCGGCTGTAGACGCGTTTCTCTTTGCGCATGCTCTCCATGCGACGCAGCAGCCGGTCGCGCTCCTCCGCGCTGGCGGGCATCGTGCGGCTCAGCCTGCCCTGTGTCCCCGGGCTGTCCGAGCGGAAGATGGCAGAACATTTGTCCTTGTCGGACATGTCCGGGGCCAGGCCGCCGGCAGCTGGTGAGCGGCCTAGTTCGGGACTGCTGTGAGTCAGGCCCGGGGCCGGGGCCCCGCGGTGCTTCTGGCCGTGGGCGCTGATCTGCTCCAGAATGGCTTTCGTGTCATCCCGCAGGTTGCTGCTATACAAGGCATTGGCCGTGGCGGAGGTCATGCGCGCCCGCGGGCTCCGCTCGTCACCGGCGGCAGCCTCAGCGCTATCACCCCTGCCCAGCGACGGCCGCCGGGGGCTCTCTGGCTGCCCGTTCTCCTGTGGCGCTGGGAAGCCGCCCTCATCCTCCGTGCGCCGCTCACCCTTGGGGCTCAGCAGCTGGCGGAGGCGCAGGGAGCCCTTGCGCAGGACTTCCATTGGGCCGCCGGCCGGCTCCTCCGCGGTCCCCGTCTTGGGAGACTCCCCGGAGAAGGTAAGGGTGAGGCTGCCTCTGCGCTCCGGCACGGGGGGCACGGGGGGCACGGGGCTGCCCCTGTGCTCCGGCAAGGGGGGCACGGGGCTGCCCCTGCGCTCTGGCACAGGAGGCACGGGGCTGCCCCTGCGCTCGGGATAGGCCGAGGTGGGGCTCCCTTTCGGCTCAGGGTAGGCAGAGGTGGGGCTCCCTTTCGGCTCAGCGTGGGGCGCCTGGCGGGCGCCTCCCTCCAGCGGGGGGCTGTCCCGCCCTTGTGGGGAGGAGGAACGGCCCTGGGCAGAAAGGTAGCGAGAGGGCAGCCGGTCGGTGCCGCTCCGGCCCAGCGTGTCTAGCAGCTGGGTGGCAGTGAGCGTGGCCGCTCCGGGCTGCCTCTCGGCCTCCTGATGCAGCCGCTGTGCGAAGGAGTCGCGCAGGTCCAGCAGGCAGCTCTCGAGGCTGCGGCGCTCGCTTCCTGCGCCACCCGGCGCCACCACCTCCTCCCGCCACGCCTGGGACACGACAGCCTTGCTGTGGCCGGCGACTGTGACCGGAGCCCCCGCCCCTCCGGCGTCACGCGCCGGGCCCTTGTATTTCTCCAGGAGCTCGGCCACCTTGGCGGAGGTGGCGGAGCGCACGGCCTCGCCGCCGGGGCCCAGCGACTCGCTGACCGTCTGCTCCTTGTGCAGCAGCTGCACCTTCTCGGCGGTGGCCGTCGTGGCCCCACCCGCGCCCTCGGCCTGCGAAGCGCTGAAGATCAGCGAGGAGCGCAGGCGCGAGCTGCGCTGCACCAGCGGGTTC